TCCTGGAAGTAGAAAGACAGAAGAAGTTCAATAACAGAACAAGGAGGCTTACTGTGCAGAATGAGTTTATCAGATAGATGTTTGATGACGAGGTATACCTTACTACTTTGAGAAGAGTTTGGAGCACTTTCATAGATTCAGTTGGGTTAACTTCAGCTTGCAGCTTGTCTACGGCTTTCTGGAGACGGCTAGTGATGATGGTAACAGAGTCTTGGATTCTGTGTATTTCTTCATCATCAAGATCTGGTTCATCAGCTTTGATGATGGTTTTCCTGTCCGACAAAACTTGGTTATCATCATCGGGATCAGGCTCTGCGTTTTCAGGCTCAGACTTAGCCGGTATAGTTTGATTTTCATAATCTTGAGGATTGGAATTTCCATACACGTCCTTTCGGATTAGAACTTCCGAGATCTCCCTTTCTGTAATGCCACGAGATCCCCTTGGAGCTCCATCTGAGATTACAATGCCATTGGAACTTCTCCTATTCTCATCTCTTTGATCATTTGCCTCCTTTTCTAGATTATCATCAGGATTATGCCCATCATCTCTTTGATTATCCGAAACCTTTATAATTTCTGTCTGATATTCTGCTTCAGATGAAACCCTCGACATTGATGACACCACAGAAAGATTAGGATAGGGTATCGACTTGCAAACTTCAGTGGTATCATCAGGATCGGGCTCAAGCTTGTCCCAAGTGTCAGGCTGATCATCAGAATCCATTCCCGTTCCTCGAGATTTTGCATAATTTGGAGGGCCAGTTTCATCATGGAGGTCAACCAACTCATCGGAATCTGGTTCTTCACGAACTTCTGGCAAAATGACGTCATCATCGGCAGTTGTAGTGGTTAAACGACGATAAGCAGCGGAAACAGAAGATGCACGTGCATCTGCCAGATGATCTGATTGGCTTCCCCCAAGTCTTTGGGAAAAACTCTTAGTCTCGGAGAAATAGTAGTCTTCCTCCTCAAAGTCATCTGTATTTTTTGCTCCACTCAAAGTATGACCCCTTGATTTAGTCCAATCTAAGCTGTTGGCTTCCTGATTCAACTGTCGAATGAAACATTTATTTAACAAGGTTTTCGAAAAAAGAAACACAAAGAAAAAATTGAAATGAAACTATGTTATACCTGCTTGTCAAGAGCATAAAAGTGTTCATCATGCTCTGAGTAGACCATGTGAGCCTGTAAATTTTGGTTGAAAGAAAAAACGTTTTCAAACCAAAATATCCAATGATTCAAAGATAAAGTATACAAGTTTTATGAAGTATGAACTTACAAGCTCATGCAACAGAGTCTTTTTTATGCTCTCGTACTTCCTAAATCCTTTGAGATCATCTGTTCGAAGACGTAGAGATATCTCCTCCCCATGATTCTACAGCAGAAAGCAATAACAATTAACAAAAAACCAGAAAAGAAAAGGAAAATATACACTTGGGAACAAACTACCTCAAACGGGAAGACATGTTTACCTTGTTAAAGCCTAGAACGCATTCGGGAGTTACACCAACATAACCAACCGGGGCCAACTCCGTCATGATTCCTACTCTCCAACGATGCTACAAAACGTAGAAAAACACTGATCGGTACATTATTAACATGCTAAAAGTTAAATAATTAGTCCACCAATGTAAAAAACCTATTACCTTGTTCATAATAGCCACAATACCAGGATCTGCTGCAAGCCTATGCATTCTCTTTAGAGCTTCAGAAGGGGGAGGGTTTAGCTGCAGAAAGGAACCATATGGGTTTAACTTTAGATTCAGTTTCTATGGAAGCAGGACTCTATTTCGGTGTACCGTCAAATAATCAAGAGCGAAATTTATGAACATCTTCCTGTCCCGTCCATAAAGCTTAAAGAATCACATAAACGGGAAGCTAGCAACTAAAGCTAGAACATCTACCTTCTGCTATGTCCAAGAGAGAGAAAGATTTACGATGACATGACTACAATGTTAAAATACAATGGTGCTGATTAGAAATGTACCTCTATACCGGGGAGCTCAAGAGTGCGGAAATCGCAGAAGATGTAAGGCCCTTGTGGAAGCTTGAGTGAAGCACCTGGAACATATAACACTTTTTGCCTCAGCCTTCTCTCCTCTTCTTCAAACCCAAGAATCCTCAAGTCGGTCTTTGCGTCTTTTAAAATGCTGTCAACTTCGTCTTCAGACACACCCATCATTCTAATAGGTTTACCCTAAAATAGTAAAAGGTACCAATAATGAATTTGTATAGATTTGGAACTTTGCATCTCAAATAAAGAGCTGAAATGTATTCGGACAAGTATGAAAACCAAGCATGGACAAGGCAAGTTAGATAATCTACCCTGGAGAAGCAGTTGCCTAAACAATAAACATGATACGATATAGGTCATATAAGCTACCTATAAATCCAAATGCATTTTTGCATTACACCGACATTCGTAAATTACACAGACAAGGCTAACTGCATAACTTGACTATTCATGTAGTTCATAGCTACAGGAATAACAACACTGCTCTCTAATAACTCGCACCATGAACTTGTCCTAGAACACGAGCTAACTAGATGCAAATCGAAGTTCCATGAGAACAGCTGAACCAAATCTCTTACACTGTTCTCTTACAGGTGCATTTCTTAACACAACAACGGGGGAACAAGAATAAACAGGAACCTCGAGAATCGAAGCCTCCTGCAAGCTCAAGCGAGAGTGCTCATTAGAGAAAGGAAACAGCAATTTCGACCCTTTCTCATTCAGACAAGGGACAATTAGCCTGAGAGTCTCTGACTTAACACCAGACAGCTTTCTCAGTTCATCACCCAAATCCTTCAGACATGCCCCAGAATCAATCTCCACAACGTATCTGTTTCCTCTCCATACAACAGAAACATTGACGATTCTTCCAAAATCTTCCATATGGTGCGAGAAATCCAAGCTACAATCTTCCACCGCCATTAACGAGTGATCTGAACATCAGAAAATAGCTCGATCAAGACAATTCCACAATCAAATTGATATCATTGAAATATGCGACGATCAAAATTGTGGGCAACACAAAGAACATGAAACGAAAACAAGAAGAGAAAAATGAAAATCAAGCTCGAGACTTCATCTTACCACAATCTGCAAAATACGAGGTTTTTCAGAGGGATTCGGACAAAGCTTAACGTGGGTAGCTTCGATCAGCCAAAAAGTTTTTTTTTTTGGCGTGGAGAAGGGTCTATGAACGAACAAATCGGCGATATATATACACACATATACAAGCGTAAGCTTTGGTAATCACTGACGATATGTATGTATAGACGATGACGTGTTCACACAGTTCGTCGCCGGAGCATTGTTGTTTCTTGTGGGCTTAGAGAGGCCCAATAAAGCCCACTCCAAATAGCATTGAATTGGTTCTTTCTTGCCACGTATTTTTGAATAAATTACTGAAACAAAGATCCATATTTTACAAATTAGACTTGATAATTCAGAATTTATTTAGGTAGTAAAGATAAAAATAATGGAAAAATAGAATTAAAAAATTTTATAAGATTAGGATAATAAAACGTTTATAACTTTATATGTATTTATTATTTGTGAGAAGAAATAATAAAATGTATTATTTCATTGAAAATAATAGTCAAACATAGGGGTTGGATTTCGATTATATTTCTATTTGGTAATTTTAAAATTTTGTTTTCTAATTTATTTATTCGATTTTATATCATTTTTTATATCCACCTTTAGTTTTATTAAAGAAAACATCTATTTTACCCAAAAAAACGTTTTGAGTAGTTTTCAATTATTTTTATATTGGATTTAAGTTAAATTAATTTTATCTTAGAAAAAATCATATCTAACCTATTTATATATCAAATTTGGTTGCATATTAATATATTGTGGAACATTATACCAATCCTTTATTAAATGTACTTTTAACTCAAATAGGGATAAATTAATTTCTATCCAAAACTATAGCCCAATCTAAACAAATCTAGCATGGACACATCAACCCTAGTTTGATTCCAAATCTATTTTTTAAAATTAAAAAAAAAACTTAACCTAAACCCTAATGTCATATATGTTTAAGGAATTTCCGAATCATTCATTCATTCACCCTAAATCAAAATAATTGATATATAATTAATTAATGAATATAGCACATTGAATATAGGTTTGAAAATATGAAACAACACTACTCCCCCACCTACAATAAACGGTATTCATGCACCGGCAAACGACCAAACAACTAATTTATGTCCTGAAAGAAGTAATGTCTTCCCACCAAATTTTCACAGCATTTATTGAAAACTCACAACAATACCTCACTTCCTTCAATGTCCGAAAATCAATAATAAAACCCACTTCCTGTCTTTTTTTATTTTATTTCATAATCTCGAAAAAAAAACTTTTTTTTTGGGGTCCAAAATCGCATTCACATAACCAATTCCAAAAGGGGAAAAAAGCTGTGGAACGTGAAAGAATGTCGTCTCTATGTGTTTTCGCCTTTACTGTTATTCTGATCCTCTTACCGGCTGCTAGGGTTTCCGGTAAAGTCCCGGCCATTATCGTGTTCGGGGATTCCTCGGTCGATGCCGGAAACAACAACTATATCCCTACGATCGCTAGAAGCAACTTCGAGCCGTACGGCAGGGATTTCGAAGGCGGAAAACCTACCGGCAGATTCTGCAACGGCAGGATTGCTACTGATTATATCTCTCAAGCCTTCGGTCTTAAGTCTACGGTTCCTGCTTATTTGGACCCTTCTTATAACATTTCGGATTTCGCCACCGGCGTCACGTTTGCTTCTGCTGCCACCGGTTACGACAACGCCACTTCCGACGTTTTGGTAAGGAAAGTTTCGTAAATTTCGATTAGATTTCTTGGTTTTGATCATTACACAGAAAAAAAAAGTTGGTACATTTTAGATTTTTATGTTATCAAGACCGAGTCTGATGTTTTTTGGTAAGGAAAGTTTTGTAAAGATCGATTATATGTGTTGGTTTTGATCGTTACAGAGAGGGGTCTCATAAAAAATCACGAATTTTAAAAAAATTTCATATGAAATCATGAATATTTTGTAACTTCTGTATAGAATCATAAATGTTACAAATATTACCCTATATTTATTAACTTTATAAATTTTGTAACTTTTATATAAAATTATAAACTTATGAATTTTACATGACAAGATTAATAAAGTTTATGATTTTATACAAAAGTTACAGAATTCATGATTTTATATGATTTTTTTTTAAAGTTGGGGTATTAGCAGATTAGGCAAATACGAAATAGCTCCATTTTCTCCCCCATTTGGATAATTTTTTTCTACAGCAGAAAATCAGGTACAGCTCCAACTTCGAGCCATTAACTTATGTATGGTAACAACGAATCATGTAGGGAGGGAAGCCCCAGAATTGAAACACTAACAAAACGAAATTCAGGAGAAAAGAGCAAACGGCCTTACTCAGAAGTAGAAATCGAAGGGGTATGAATAGATTCAGTGAATTTGAGTGAAAAACATTTCAAGTATTTGGCCATTTAAAAACTCCACAAAGAAAAATACTTGGCACTCGTTTTGCCATTTTGCTGAAATTCATATATATATATATTTGGTAACGAAAGTTAATATATTTTTTTATATCACAAATTAAGAGAGTGAATCTTGCGTTTTTGTAAGAGGGAAATAACGTTTAGCGTTTGGCGTTTGGCGTTTGGCGCTTGCAGTCGGTACTTCCGTTGTGGAAACAGCTGGAGTACTACAAAGAATACCAAAGGAAACTGAGTTCATACCAAGGAACATCCAAAGCCAAAGACACGATCTCGAACTCACTCCACATCATAAGCATCGGAACCAACGATTTCGTCGAGAATTACTACGCGTTCCCGAGCCGTTCTTCGCAGTATCCGATAGGCCTGTACGAGGATTTCCTCGCGGGGATCGCGAGGGACTTCGTGAAGAAGTTGTACGGACTCGGGGCGAGGAAGATATCGCTCGGAGGGTTGCCGCCGATGGGATGCATGCCGCTGGAGAGGACGACCAATTTCGCCGGAGCCGGAGAATGTGTAGGAAGGTACAACGAGGTGGCCGTAGAGTTCAACGGAAAGCTGGAGAAGCTTGTCGGAAGACTGAACAAGGAGCTTGACGACGTTAAGGTGGTCTTCTCTAATCCCTACGACAATTTCATGCGAATCATCAAGAACCCTACGTCGTACGGTACGTACCCATTTACGATTACATAATTTAATGGGCCGTTATAAATAAAAAATAAATGAGTTGGATTAATCCATGAAACCCAATTAACCTATATCTGTAATATTTATGAATAAAATTAAACGTGATTATATATTAGTGATATTTTACAATATATAATCAATATTGAAAAAAACTAAATCATGTCTAGGCATTTCAACTTTAGGAAAATAATGTCAATTAAGTTTTTGTATATAACATTTCTAGTGGTAGTTTTTTAATAAATAAAAGTTAGAATTAAAAAAAGAGAAAATGACATTTTCCTACACGGATTGTTTAAAATATGATTTTTTCCTACACGAACTTTTAATTTGACAAAAAACTACACCAAATTATCAAATGTGTCAAATTGATATACGAACTACCCAATTTAACTGCAATTTCCTACACAATCCGAAAACGGTGTTAAATGTCCATTAACCGATGACATGGCACACCACGTGGCGTCTGACATGGTACGCCACATGAAAATTTTTGTCATGTCAACATGCCACGTCAGATTTTTTAAAAATACAAAAAAAATAAAAATAAAAAACAGATTAAAAAAAACAAAAAATCCAAAAAAAAACTAAAATAAATAAATAAATAAATAAAAAGTAAAAAAAAAATACACATATATGCATATATATTCATATCTATATACAAATATAAATATAAACATACATATTCCTATATATGTATATATACTTATATATTTTTTATTATGTATATATATATACCTAGGAGTATTTATGTACATATATATAGACATATATACACATAGGAATATTTATGTTTATATTTGTATTTATCTGTGGATATGAATATATATGTACATATATATATTTTTTATTTTGTATGTATGTATATATATGCATATGTACATATATATACGTGTATATATATTTATATATGTGTATGTGTATATATATAAATATATTTGTTTGTATATATATGTATATATATTTGTATAGATGTTAATATATATATATATATGTATATGTTTTATTTTGTATATATAGAGATATATTTTTATATAGGAGTATATATATTTATATTTGTATTTGTATATAGATATGAATATATATGTAGGAGTATATATATATTTTTTAAATAGGAGTATATAGATTTTTATATAGGAGCATATATATATATATATTTTTTTCAAATTTTTTCAAATTTTTAAAAAAAATATGATGTGGCATGCTAACATGGTAAAATTTTCTATGTGGCATGCCATGTCAGACGCCACGTGGCATGTCATGTCACCAGTTAACGAACATTTAACACCCAATTCAGATTGTGTAGAAAATTACAGTTAAATTGGTTAGTTCGTGTATCAATTTGACACATTTGATAATTTGGTGTAGTTTTTTGTCAAATTAAAAGTTCGTGTAGAAAAAAATCACATTTTGAACGGTTCCGGTAAGAAAATATCATTTTTCCTAATAATAATAATAATATGGTATTATATTAGGGTTTGAGGTGGTGGCGTCAGCATGCTGTGCGACGGGAATGTTCGAGATGGGATACGCATGCCAGCGTGGAAACCCATTCACATGCAGCAACGCCGACAGGTACGTCTTCTGGGATTCCTTCCATCCCACGCAAAAGACTCACAAGATCCTCGCTGATCTCGCCGTCAAGTCCGTCTTCTCCCAATTCCTCCCCTGATCTCTTTATTTATTATTTATATATATACATACATATATATATATATATATATATATATGTGTGTGTGTGTGTATGTGCGCGTTTGCTTTTTGTCCACAATGTACGATGCCTAAGATTCATATGTTTTGTGTGATGAGGTTTTCGAATAAGTGATATGGTATCATGTGTGTGTCCACTTACTTCTTCCAGTGAAAAATGACATCTCTCTCTCTCTCTCTCCAAAAGGAGAGAGAGAGATCAGGTTGCTACAGAATCAAAGGAAAACATACATTCATGGCCATACACATGCATTGAGCCTGTAATGAAAAGACAAGTAAACAAACTCACCATCCATGAACTGTTGGCAGGCGTAGGATATAGAGTTTTGATTAATTATTTGATACTGATTCTTGCAAGCCCGAACCACTTCCGAGGAGCTTCTGTTCTTGCAGACTATATATATCAACCTGCTTGAGTTCATATTTGCCATGTTAGGTACATCAGAACTGAAGTTATGATCTATGATCAACGCCAACACTTGTTCCATAATGAAAAATAGAGAATCTAAGGTAATGCATTTGGGAAACAACGACAATTCCATGTTCCGGGCATACCTCGATGAGCTCCTGAAGTGCTTTGTTCGATTATCGTGCCATTTTTCTCAATCGTGTGTTTTGCTTCCATCGCCCTCAGCAACTCTTCCGTAAGTTGATCACTCCCATGACGCTTAAGTCCATCACGGATCTCATTTACAACTTCTGCATCGGGAGAAATTGATCTTTTGGTCATTTCCCTCAAAACCTGAGCAGCTCCATCAAAATCCTCATTACTACAGAAGGCAGAGATTAATATGTTGAATGTATCCTCATTCGGGTGGCAACCACTCCTAATCATGCTTTTGTACAGCTGGAAAGCGCGGTCAGCATTTCTCCTCATACATTGTCCCATTATCAGCGCTGAGAAGGTTGATGAGTTTGGCACCATGTTCTCCTTATCCAGTTCTTTAACGACATAAGCAGCTTTCCTTGTCTTACCTTGCTTGCAGAGTCCCAATATCAATGCATTATACGTCAAAATGTCACGCTTAATCCCGTTGCTGACCATCTCTTCATAAAGCCGATACGCCATTTCATAGTTGCCCTGTTGGCTGTACCCATTAATCAAAGTGTTATAGGTTATAGTGTTGGCACCCACATTCTCGACTTTCATCTCGGTGAAAGCTTTACTAGCTTCTTGCAATTTTCCGTCTCGGCAAAATCCATGGATGAGAGTGTTAAATGTAACCACATCAGGCTGCAGGCCACTCTTTTTCATTAAGTTCTTAAGCTTCAAAGCTGAGCTCAAAAGTCCTTTGTCACAGTGCCCTGCTATCAAGGTGTTATAGGACACACTTGTCGGCACGAAACCCAATCTCTCCATGTCTTGAAGCAATTCCACACCCTTATCGAGTTTCCCAGATCTACAATAAGCAGACATGACCATATTCAGAGTGTATACATTTGGGGATATCTTACATCGCCTCATTTCCCGATAAAACCGAAGCATAATGTCCACCCTCCCTCCATCAAGCAGAGAACTCAGGTATGCATTGCATGACTCCACAGTAGGCAAAAACCCATAATCCTTCATATGCACAAAGGTATCAGTGGCATTTCTGAATTTCTTTAAATGGGCATAAGTTTTGAACAACGAATCAAATACACGAGGCGAAGACTCACATGTCCGGTAAGAATACAGGATAGTATCAAACAGTTTTTCAGGAAAATCTGTCTCACCGGTTTTGAGAATGCCCCTTAAAACGGACTCTGCGGATTTGAATTTCCGGTTCTTCGTGAGAATGTGAAGAATTATGGCATGGATTTCAAGAGAACAGGAACCTGGGTTTCTAGGTTTCACCCAGTTGAAGAATTCAAGGGAAAGAACATGATCTTTCTGGATTTTCAGTAGCACACTCTTAACCCTGAATGAATCGAAATGGGTTGATAACTGATCAAGCTTATCCCAGTCAGATTGAATAAGGTGGCTATGCATAACCATGACAAGATCAAGGTCTTGACCTCTTGGTTCAGGATGTGTTCTGTGGGGAATTGGAAGTGTATTCCACCTTAGTCCCCCAAGATTCTCGGATATCTTATGGTTTTCAGATTCAGGACTTATTCCAGCAAAACTTGAAACTCGATAGCACAGAAGGCAGATAGCACCACTGCTTACATGCACCACGTTAGAAATTCTAGAGAGTGACAGCACAGTAGATTTCACCAATGGCCGTTGCATTCTCACCGATTGGCTGAGAAGTGAGAGCCAATATGAAATGCTGAAATCGCGAGAAGGGTTTGAAGTTTCCGGTTCCCTTTATGTTGGCACCGCAGCCCCCTATCTCAGATTTTCGAGCAAGATCCCTTTTTGGCTCTCTCTTTAGCACTATGTGTCTTATCCCTAGTAGGTCTTCCTTCAATCCTATTTATGTGAAATTATGTGAAATTTATCGAGTCTTATCATCTGCAAGAATACACGAAAACACAACATTGAGCCAATATTCTACAGAAGAATACATACAACATCATGGGACTCAGACCAGCATCAACTCAGTCAGAAGATGGCTTAAGACCCCAACTTATGCAACAAACTCGATAAAGCCTTCAAATCCAGAAAAAGGAAAAGTCCATCTCTCCAGGCTGCATTTCAGTAAAAATTTGCAATCTCTACACCATCTTTACTGAGAGAGAGTTACAAAACCCTCAAGCAGATTAGGCAAATACGAAATAGCTCCATTTTCTCCCCCATTTGGATAATTTTTTTCTACAGCAGAAAATCAGGTACAGCTCCAACTTCGAGCCATTAACTTATGTATGGTAACAACGAATCATGTAGGGAGGGAAGCCCCAGAATTGAAACACTAACAAAACGAAATTCAGGAGAAAAGAGCAAACGGCCTTACTCAGAAGTAGAAATCGAAGGGGTATGAATAGATTCAGTGAATTTGAGTGAAAAACATTTCAAGTATTTGGCCATTTAAAAACTCCACAAAGAAAAATACTTGGCACTCGTTTTGCCATTTTGCTGAAATTCGACAAGCGAAAGGATATCCAAACAAAAGCTTCAAACCCTAATTCTAATGGCAGACGCCCTAAGGTTTTCTCGCTCCACGTGAGATCATAAGTTATGAAAAAAAATCGATACATTTTATACCAATCGGAAACATGGATGAACTCTTTTGCAAGTTTGATTACTTAGTAAAGATCTGATTAAAAGGTAGAAGAACAGAGAGAAGAACAGAGAGAAGAAAAGGACTCACAGTAAAACCCAGTCCCCTTCACCGGAGAAAGCGTCTTCACTAGCTCCACCACCTCCGATCTGTCCGGAAACCTGTTCCGTACACCGAGTCGGTCAAGATCCTCTACTGTGTTTCCCGGCCGGTGCCCACTTCGCCGTGTTCTTCCCCCCCCACTCGCCGTCGAGTGCGGACGAGAGAACTATTCTAATCATATTTTGTGGGCCCCATCTATTTTATTTAAAATCGGGTCGGGTCAGCCCAACCCAACCGACTCATATTCCAATTTCCGATAGCCAAAAACAAAGTAAAAATAATAATTCTAACAAGAATCAAGGCAATCATTTGTATATTTCAATTTTGAAATCGGGTTGTTATTAACTGGGATTCATATTTTTTGTTAGGTTCCGTTTATAAACAAATTTCGTTTTTATTTATTTTTCAATTATTTTTATTTAATTTAATTTCTATTTAAATCAAAATAAATTAATTTAACCTGGATTCAAACTCAAGTCTGGGAAACCTCTCTCTTCTAAGGGATGTAGTCGGCCAATGGTTAGGTGAACTTTCGGATTATCAAAAAAAAGATTTAATTTAAAAATTATAACAAATCAATTTTTAAATCCAATTAATACAATTATAAAAATAATCGGGCCCTAAGAAGACTGAAGAAGTAAATTATATATATATATATATATATAAATATCTAAATATATAATGAATTTAATAGGTTAACCCATGGGTTTAATGGGTCAAAACCCATTTAACTCATTTTTAAAAATTAATCAAATGGGCTAACCCATTTGGGTTTATAAATGGGTCGGGTTGAGTCGACCCGTATAACCCGACCCATTTTGACATCTCTAAATAAATATGAAATAAATCCCAAATTGCGTGAAAAACTTTACATTTTCTACCTTTTTTTTATTTCACAAAAAAAAGATTCTTTTTAATTTCTTTTTATTTATTTCTTAATACCGACACTTCTCCATCTTTGCACAATATTCTCAAAAGTTAATGATATTTTTTCGTCAAATAAATGCATAGAAAATCCAAACTCTGCCATGTACTATATATCTGTAGTTTAAAGCATTCAACACGTACAATTAAACACCCTCTCTTCTGCGAGATCTCATTCGTTTTTATCCGAACAAGCTTTTTTCCGACATGCCGACAGGTTTCTTGGACAACAAGCTACCGTCTTCCCTGCCTGGTTCCATGTTCTTTGTTCTGTCTGAATCTCTGGATGGTAACGTTTGAGTCTTGACGAACGGATTCGCTATCGGGGAGAGCCTTGGGTACGCTAAATAGGCGGAAGAATCGAACATCGAGGCGTAAGGGTACTGCGGAAGAGGATGATCGAATCTGCATCCCGAACCGAACTTACATACTCCATGGATCATGTAGCTGGCACATATAGATTGTCCCTGCAGATTCAGAGAAAGTTTTCGATGATTTACCTACACAAGCGGAATCAGAACCGAGAATTTGCGAAAGACTTACGGGTCGGGAATGAAGCGTAACCGAGTTCATTGCACTTGATGATGATTCTATGTGAGTGATCCGTTCTTTCGAGTGATAAAACCTGCAATCTGATCCATATCTGCAGGTTCCGGAGTTCATGTAGTATCGGCATTCGGGCTGGTCAGGTCTTTCGGGGAGATTATGAACTGAATCGTGTCGGTTTATCGATCCAATGATATCAGTCGAAGAAGAACTCTGAAATGCATTGGCGAAAGAACGAGAAAGTGAACCAGAAAGCAGAACTAGATTCAAGATTCTAATCAGAATCTTTCATTGGATAGGTAAGGCAAGTTTTTCACTCGAATCAGCGAAAGATACGTAAGTGCGAACGTGTACATACATACATACATACATTCCTTACCGTGAAAGTGTCAAAGCTCGGGGCGGATAAGATGCTGTGAGAGGGAGAAACCATGAAGGGGATATATCCCGATGGACCTTGAAGACTTAAACCGTTCATATACGATAATCTCGGGACTGACCATGCTGAAAATCCGCCATAAACAGACGGAGTTCCATTCAGAGGGACATGAGATGTCGGCTGAGGATGATGGAACTTGCATGTGTTCCCAAACTTACATGTTCCGGTCCGCATGTAGTAAGAGCAACACTTCCGATCCTGAAAAAATGGCAGATAAGTTTTAAGAGTTTATACTCTCTGGTTCCAAATTCAACCGATTCCGATTCGCCGAATTCTTCTGAAACATTTAACCTATGCGAAAGAGGTTGTCGATGTATGCACCTGTCGCATCGGAAGTCCAAGGATGTTGAAAAAGATCGGTAAAGCGCCATTTCTATCTTTCGGGTGATGATATTTGCAACTCGCTCCGTATTTGCATGCACCCGTCTTCAGAAAATACTGGATGTTCATGTTTGAACACACAAAAGATTTATCAAACCCGCGTACCAGGTAACGAAATTAATCAAAACGACTACCCCGACATTGTAAAACCCGTTACGAAATTTTTTAGTGTTTTGTAAGTTTCCCTATAAAAAGTGAATCTTACATTATGAATAAATCATCAGAGAGTTGGATTAGAAAATTGAGGGGAGGTTGAATACTACTCCCTGATGTATTCCAGCTCCTACATACCGTATATTTCTATTGTATTCCATCTCCTAAACACCGTATAAATTTAGAAAAAACCCGTGATAAATCCCTAATGGGATTATCAATAACCTCGTATAAATCTTACCTCGCAGTTTGGTTGCCCAATTCTCTCGGGAAATTCATCCCGAGAACTCAACACACCCTGCAGACAGAACATCTCCATCAAAACACAAGAATTCTATGACAAGACGAAACTAAACCTATTAAACTCAGCATGGATTCAATTGGAAACGCGATGCAGAACCCGAGCACTGTAATCAAACACAAACCTGAGCTGCGGAAACGGGATGGTTAAACCGACAATTACTTCCGTATCCACATGAACCCGTTCTCAGATAGTACAAGCAATCTGGCTCGTCAGGATGGTCTGGATAACACCTCTGTTGAGCCAAATCTCGCGTTTCTTCGTCGTCTTCATGAATATTAAGACGCTCAAGTGAATCTACAATGTGTAAATTCAGACATTTACAACAATCGCAAGTTCGGAATCAGAATCTTCTGAATCATTCATCCGATGGTCGAAAGTATAAATACCACAGTAATCACAGATTCAGAGTCAGAATCTTATAGTTCTTCGTCTGATTACACTATCATAATCACAAATTCAGAAATCAGAATCTTCTGAGTCATTCATCTGATGATCAAAAGTATGATTACTACAGTAATCACAAATTCGGGACCAGAATCTTCTAGTTCTTCATCTGATGATCGAAAGTAATAAGAAATAAACACTCTCATAATCACAAATTCAGGATCAGAATCTTCTGGCTAGTGATATGATCATCTGGAAGTTCTTCTACAGAATCAACTAATCTAATACATTACAGTGATCACAAGGGAAACCTAAACAGAAAACCATAAGCGGCAAAAACTCCATTATCGGCTAAAAATTATCATCTCGAAGAATCAACAGTGGAGTTGCATTGATCATCTCATAACATACCCAGGAAATAACTCATGGGTTTGATTTCAGAGGGAAATGGAGACACATCGAAAAATTTCAGACACGAAATAAACACCACAGCTCTCAGATCCTTCAAGCAATTTCCAGACAAACCCAAATGCGAGCCCAAAAAAAAAGAACGTGTACCTTCGACGTTTTCACTGGATTGATCCGAACTCTGCATTTGAATGTATGAATAAATTAAACGGATCGAAAAAAAAGCACCAAATCGGACAAATCAGAGATGAAATTTCTCTTGTTCGAAACTTAGTTCAAGCAACAAGATCAAGCTCTCTGATCATTGGTAGAACCATCATTTCATCTTCCTGGTTTGCATTTTCCAGGATTCTGATGTATAGAAGAAGAAAAAAAACCCGAAAGATGGAATTAATACTCTGATTAATTACCACCGCATTGAATTTTTTGATTTTTTTTGTACGATTATTCAAAAAAAAAAAGAAGAGGAGTATCTCGGTGATGTGAAATGACATCATTACCCTCCAACACGCGTAACTACCACATATATCGGTTATTAACCGACCATCATCAAGCATGCGTGTTTTCTACATTAGGATTCTTTTGGGGAAACTTTAGCGTGGCGAAATCTCAGCCGTTGGATTGCTCTAACTCTTGTTTCCCGATCTTTGTTTCATAGTCAACAACACTTGTCCATTTTAACACACACACACACACACACACACACGTATATATACATATTAAAAGGGTATATACTTTGATTCTTGCGACATATTTATCTTTAAATATAGATCATAGATTATCTTATCATTATGAAAAAATAATTTCTATCTCAAGAAAAATTTAACAATAATATATTTCGAACCAAAAAATATATCAAATTATGATATTTTGAAAAAACAATGTATGTACTGCTTTTTTTACTATTGCAAAATAAACTATATTTAATTATGAAAATATCGTAATTGATTAACAAAAATTTACTGAAACGATAGTTTCGAATTTTCCACAAAACAACAAAATTATTGTATTGAATTTCCGTTTAATCTATAACCCTAATTACTTTTATCCAATTCGCATTTAATTTATAACATTCCTATTTTGTTATCAATTTGTGTAATGTTTTTATTTTCTTCACTTGGGTGTCTTCCCCCTTCAACGCATTAAGGCCTTGGCTGTATGAAGTTTTCCCAATTTTTATTTTTTAAAAACCCAAAAAATATCTAATCAAAATTTTAGATTTTAGCTAAACAAATCTCATTTGTTAATAGATTTTTCATTTTCTATTAAATATTAATTATATAAAATATTCAAAAGATAAAAATAACCATAATTTTAAAGAGTTTATATATATATATATATATATTTGTTTATAATTTTAGGATTTAAACAATTAGGAATGGGAAAAATATTTTTAGATCTTCTAAAAACATATTTAACCTACCATATTTTTTTCTCATATTGGGAGTACACTCCAAATGCCATGAATTTCTAATTTGGATCACTATAATCTAACATATATTTAATTCATTAAAAAACTATTATATATATAATCAATAAACCAAAATCCATGAATTTGTCAAATACTAATTATATTAATCTCAAGTTTAGTGAGAAATAGAAAAGAAATAACTAAATGTAAAGGAAAATTTATTTATAGTTTGGGACCACAGAAGTGCATGAATATATAATATATATATATATATATATATACTAAATAATATATGATAGATGTAGTATAAATATATTTGGATTGGATATTTTGTACCAATTTATCCAAATAAAATATGAACTAGCAACATAATTTATTTCAATTGAAATTTCTGCATTAAAATACCAAAAATACCATTTAATTCATTCAAATTATTTCTGTAATTTTTTCATATTTTATAAAAATAAAAATAGTTATTTTTTTTATGAATCTAAATTTTTATAAATGGAATATTAAATCAGTCTATAAAATCAAATAAAAATATTTTAAAAATTAATCTTCTTTTAATAAAAATACATTTGAATTAGAATAAAGTTCGTGTCAAAATATATTTGAATGAATAAAAATAATGATGTTACATCTTGAAAGAAACAAAGGGGGAAAAAATTAACCCCAAATTAGAACAAAACATGATATGGTTAATGTCTCCCTCCAGTACTGCGGCAAAGCTCAAACCGCCGAGGAAATGGTAGCATCAATGGCAGCAATTCGCCTTCATTTCATCGCACAATCGTTATGAACCCTTTAGGGTTTATACTTATCTCCTCGAAAGAGACAAACCCATCTTCGAGATAAGGACGAAGAACGAGAGGAAGATAAAAATCATGTCTCCGACAGAGAATCCGTCTCCATTGATGACCGAAGAAGAAGAACCAGGCATCGAAGACCTCGACCTCGAGCCCGAGGACTTCGGACCCTCCGTGCCATTGCGGAAGGTCCCCAACGGCGACGTTTTCGAGGCCTCACGCGCCGGCGACCTCGACCGCCTCCGGTACCTCCTCGAGACCGGGGTCAACGTCAACGCTCGTGACCGGTGGGACTCCGTCGCTCTCTACTACGCTTGCCTTGCCGGTCATATCGCCGCCGCTCGTCTGCTCCTCGAGAGCGGCGCGATTTGCTCCGAGCACACCTTCGATGGCGATCGCTGCCACTACGCGGCGCTTAACCTTAGGATTCGTAAGCTTCTCAAGGCTTTCGAGGCTCGTCCGCCTCCGCTCGGTCCGTTGCAGGGCTGTCTGAGAGAAACGTTTTTAGGGTGTCTGAACAATCGGGCTTATCTGGATCAAGCCGCTGATGCCAATATCCAGATTTCAGGTATGATTCGATTCGGTTTTTGGTGTTCTTGTTGTTGGTTTCCATTGTTGGGGAAATGGTTTGATTGTTTATATTCAGTTGCTCTGAATTGGGTTTAGAACTCAAAGATTCTCTGTTTCGGTTTTGCTTGAGAAAGGCCATATTGGATTCATTTCCTTCATGAAACGCTGCACTTCATGGAAAGGAAACAACATTTTACGGAGTTCTATCCTGTCTTTCTGGGAAATTGCTTGATAGAAGAAGAACACGTATGTCACTGATTCGACATTTGTGGCTAAAGTTGAGTTCTTGAAGCATTTCTTAGTAATGGGCAATCTTTGTTTAGTGCCATGGTCACTGACACCGCTTGTATATCTGCTGTTTTGTACTTCCGCCAGTTTGTTGAGTTCTGTTCTTGCTGTCCTTGCCATATGGCATTTGTTTGACTGGTACTTGTCTCAGTGTCGGTATGTCCACCCAGTGAGATGGCCAGTTCGAATCACTTCCCACCCGATGTGGTGTTCTTCGTTCAAGGCAGACCCATCGAAGCCCACAGAATTATTCTGAGTGCGAGATCTCCGTTTTTCAAGAAGAAGTTCGAGACTGATTGGAGAGACCGGAAAGAAGTCAGATTCTCGAAAGAGAAGCTCTCGTATTCCGCTCTCTATAGCCTTATCCACTTCTTCTACTCTGATAGGCTGGAAATATCGGTTGACGACATGGAAGATCTCGTGAGGATCTGCAAAGTTTGTAAATGCGAATCATTACAAAAGATCCTGGAGAAAGAACTGATTCACCAGAAATATGCCGAGTACAAGACACATAGAGATCTTGATAACTCTCAGAAACGGTTCATCTTACAGGGTGTGTCCCTTCCCGATCAAGACAGGCTTCCAGCTTCCTTGCATAGGATTCTTCAAGTTTCGCTCGCGAAATCGAGTTTTGATTTTGAAACCCATCCAGATAATATTGGGGCTTTGAGAATCAGCGATTCTGTGGAAGATCTTGCTGATGTTTGCGTTAAAGTTGATAAACGGATTTTCCGGTGCCATCAAGTCATTCTAGCATCAAGATCAGAGTATTTTAGAGCGAGACTATCCCGTGTGAACGATTTCCACGAGGGGAAAAAGGGTTTACCGGGTCATTGCCTACCATTTCTCGAAGAACATGATCTGAGCGCAGAGGCTTTCGAGAAAATGATCGAGTACATGTAAGTAGTACCCTCTCAAAGAAACTGAAAAAACTCGATACAGGAAAAGTCTTTCGGTTCTGTAGCTAATAACCCTATAATCATATTAGGTACACTGATGGCTTGAAGGAGATCCACCCAAATCAGGTAAATTCCGACATGTGAATCAGATTTTGTGAAGTTCATAGCTTTCTAAAACTGTTTTGCTAATTCGACAGGCGGAGGAAATTTTCGATGCTTCGTCTCGCTACTTGTTGTTTCCTCTTAAACGAGCCGTGGCTGATGCCTTGTTGCCTCACCTCGAAACCGCCACTCCTTCGGAACTCTGCCATTGGCTGATATCTTCAGATATGTAAGTTTCTTGTCTTGTCCTGACATAACCTCCTTTCATGGTGGTTCTGTTCTGTAACAGGTCTTGTTACTGGATCTTTCTTTTGCAGGTACGGTGTATTGAAGATAAGAGAGTACTGCCTTGACCTGATGGCTTGTAATTTCGAGGCATTTGCTGAGACACGTGAGTTCAGGGCCATGCTTTTGACGTTGCCTCCACCGTCGGGGGACTCTTCGCTCCGGACAACTGCCCCGAGTGCGCCGGGAGCTATGATGAACGCAGACCAAGGGAATCTGCTCGATGATCTGAGGGAGAAGTGGCTTGAAGCCGAGGGAGCAGAGCTCGACGAGAGAGACGAGAGCGCTTTGATTTTCGATAGACGTCTCGAGATGCTCATGGAAATGGCGGAACACGAAAAGCCCGGGTCAGAGTCCGAGGAATAGAAAGGAATCCGCTGCATTGGTCGCCGTTTCCCCGGCGAGTTTGAGGCTATTGAAGATCGAAGAGTTTCGAGTCTTTTTAATACATTTTTCGTAGGGTTACACAAGAAAAACCTCAGAACTTTGGCTTAAGCAAGTATCCTTAAACCAATGATCAATAATACACTCGGGTTTCTATGCTTTGCAATTAGGAGTTTACCAATTTGGTTAATATTCGGTTAACCGAACCGATATGAATCGAATAATATACAACTGTTATTGAACTGGATCGATATAAAAATTTAATGATTTGATTTTTCTAAAAACGGAAAAAATCGAGTCTAAATTTAATAGAACTAAATAAAAAAAATAACTTAAAAAATCGAAAATTTCTTTAAGAAACGATTAATTTTATCAATAAAATCCAAGCGATCCAAATTCTATTTAAAAACCAGATAGTAATAGTTCTCTTAAACCTAACTAACCGAGTCATACCGAAACCCGAAACGGTAACCCCGATATGCGATTATCATAAAATCTTTGCTTAATCATTTTTATGACCTTTGGTTAATGATTTCGTTGAAGATTTGCACACATTCTTTCAAATTATAGCTTCCTTGAAGAAGATTTGTTCCAAATCTTGTGGTTTGCCATTTCCATAATCTATGACGAAGAAAACAAAGGACGCATCTTCTTCCATTGTACAACAACAAGGATGATGGCCACTTTCCAAAACGAGTGGCCTTTCCACAAATATGCAGTACAGTTTGTATAGCTTTGTATATGAAAAAACTGTATAATCCCTTTCTCCTTTCTTGCTACCTATCATCCAAAACTCGGAAACATTTCCTTTCAAGCCTTAAACCGGAATGTATAGAGGAGGCGATATACGTTCAAACTGCCTCCCCAGCCTTGGCTGGACATTCTTCTTTCGGGATATTGGGAGAGGACTCGTCCTCCTCAGCTTTTGGGGGAGATTCTTGGTCGGTGGCATTCGGTGAAGAGGAGGACTCTTCTTCTTCCTCCCGAGCTTTCTGGGGAGATTCTTGGTCCGAGACAGCGGGAAAAGACTCTTCTTCCTCCTCCCGAGTCTTAGGAACAGGATGGAAATCTGAAGCAGCATTGTCCAAAGACATGCTGGAAACTTCATCTGACACGGAGCTTGTATATGTCTCTTCAATGGCGTCTTCTGAGACAACGGACTCCGTGTCTGGTTTTTGCTGGAGGCTCCAGTACATGATGGTTGCCACCAATATAAGCATCATCTTCTGGTTCACCTGACATCATCAGCAGTTTATGCATTACCATGATCACTCCGTTAAAATTATTCATGCACGAACGTAAAAAAACAAAGAGAATTGTCCCGGGTTATATAGATTTTACCTCTATGATATCTTCGGGCAACAAGAATATGGAGCACCCGAGTTTCCGGGCAACACTGACAATGTAAGTGGCATTCAACTTCTTTTCCTCCTCTGTTAAGACAATTACAGCAAAGAGAAGCTCAATGCTTATAGATGTATAACAAACAAAAAAAGAGACGGAACACTTCCCATCTGTGTGGAATGTTACATCCAAATGGAAAAGGACAGGAAGTCAGAGTGGATCTGAAAATTACCTGTTTCTCCCTTAGTGACAAGACTCCAGTTCACTACTCTTGGCTCTACTGAACTAAGAAGCTCCAAAAAGAAGATCCCATTTGACAGTTTCTTGTCCTAATACCAGAAAACGTAAAAAACAAGACCGTAAAAAGTGTTTAAAGGTGAATATTCATAAATCAAGATCTGGGCTTTTTGATTGAACTCATACCTTGAAGCTCTCAGCTTGAGAAGTTCGACCCGCTTTACTCACTTTCCTATTTGCCCAGTTTAGAATATCTGCATCTGTAATTTCTTTGCCTTGAGAGTGAGATCTCAAGTTTTTCAGAAGTTGGAGCATGGTGAATCTCATGAGTTGCCACAAAAACGCTGCAAAATCATTGGCAAAAGAAGATAAAGACCATACACAAGTTTCCACAGAAAAGAACAATCTGCTGTAAAAGATACCGGACCGCCTTTGAGGAAGAGACAAAACCGGTTAAAACGACATTAAACGTGTTGATGAACAAGTTTTTGAGGGCTACGGCTACTCACCAAGTATGAGTTTCTTATTTCCTTGCACAAAGTCATTACCAGCTACATTGACAAGAGAGAACCTCAATTCTTTCCCGATCTTAATAACTTGATTGCAGTTCTCGACCTTTTTGAATGGCATTTTTATGGGAGGTTTATTTGCATGTTTCCAGTTCACCGAGCCAGGAGAAACTTTGTCGAGAACTTCAAGAAGAACCCATCTGAATCTCATGAGGAATGAATCAATTAGAGTAGAGCCAAATAAAAAGTAACATGTGAGTGTAAGAACAAGAAGCAAATCATAGACTGGATTGCTCACCCATTCCTAACATCCTCAAAAACATTATTGACATAAGATGCAATTCCGAGACTGTTAATCCAGAGACGGAAGCATCTTTCTTCCCGCGAAGTTTGTGTGTCGTCCGTCATCATTTCAGCAAATGACACCTTCGAATTGTCAACTGACAACCCATTCCTGCAAAAAGATCACGGCTTTAGTCAAAACTATCATCATCACCTTATGAACCCGTTAGGGTAATCCATAAAGAACGATCTGACAGACAATCACATGCACAAAACAAAGTCATTTGTATCACCCGAAACAATCTACTTGGACCACTGGAACTACTTTCACGTGTTTTAATTACTTAAAGCCAAACGAGTCAGGATCGTTTACTTACCTATGCTGAAATATTTGCGCAACAAATGCAAGGTTAAGGTTTGGTGAGCCGTCCACTATATCTTTATGAGAAATGTATCTTTTACAGTCCAACTTCTCCGCCTGCTCAAGAACCCTCTTTGCTCTTTCTGCAGGATCCTTGGTCTCTAATGTCACTTGTGTACTGTGTTCAGGTGCAAGAGCATTAAGCAGGTAGGCATATGCCTCTCCATCCTGCAAAAACACAACAGGAAACTCATCATATGACCTATAAGAGATTCAGCATCACAATATTACAGTTTTTAAACACACAAAAAATCGTCAACATATACCGAATTAGAGAGAGAAAAAGCAGCATTATCTGAATTTGTTATGAAAGTTCACCGGCAAGACCAAGCTTGAAAAGTTGAACAAATGATTAGTCAGAATAGAGAGCAGCAAGTCCGACTTACTTTCACATCAGAAGAGAAATTTGTGACCTGCTTCTCATAACCGGCTTTCTTCAGATGGAAATTCATCCATTTTAGCAAAACCTTCTCAGGAGCAAGCCCCATAAGCTCCTCCACATCCTGGCCATGAAGATGTCAGTCTCACTGCTAAAAAAAGGCGGAAAAACCATCAAATATATCCCACCTTGCTGTCGTCAACCAATTCTACAAGTTGAGGAGTTTTCTTCAGATTGAGATCAGCCAACAGTTGTATCTGATATTTGTCCCAAAGAAATAAAAAAAATTACACAGATTTAGTAGTGTTACCACAAATCAATGCCTAAACAAAAGTGTAGAATCGAGTTTTGTCGTCATATAATTTGCCAAGAACCAGAAAAACGGCAACTGTTTTGAGGAGAATACCTTTATAACCTGAGATATCAAACCGAGGACGAGATGGGGCTACAAAGACAGCAAGGGAAAATGGAGCAATTAGCATTGGAAGATCAAACCAGCCAGAGGGATTAAAATAGATAGCTACCTAGTTTTTCTTGGAATTACTCACTCTTCCTTCAGCCAAGTCCTGTGTTCCAATATTGACCAATGTGCAGCCAATTGCCTTAGCCGAGTTGAGACAAAGAGTATGGTTCTCATTTCTCTCCCATGGGTTAAGCACCTTCTTTGTATTGATGGCTCGTTCATCGATTGTCCCGGGAACAGCTATGTTTATAAGCTTACTGCAACCAGGAAGAAGAAATGAGGAATCGCCTTTAAACAAGAAAAAGGGAATATAAATCCAAGATTACAAGATTACATACCACAGAAGAACACCGTCTCTAGCAAGATCGAACAAGGCATTGGTGGCAGGATCGATAGGAAGATAGTTCTTCAAGAAAGGGTCATCTCTCAAGAAGCTATTGATATGGGCCACGTAAGAAGCCTTCTCGGATTCATTGATTGCATGGTGAACAGTTGTAGTGCTTGCCTTGAGGAAAGCTGAACCTCCTTTTGAACCTCCCGATTTTTCGATCCCTCGTGCTTGAACACTTAGAAAGGCCTATCAAAAACCATCCATAAAACTGCTCACTACATAGAAAGATAAATCACAGATCCAATGGATCGAACTTGAACGAATGGAGCAGCAAGCCACGAAAAAAGTTCACCTGAAGAAAAGCTTCAAAATCGATTTCTTCGTCGGGATTAGTATAAGACTTCCCCAGTATAGATTTGATCTCATCCTCATCAAATGTCCCGCTGAAAGCGTTCAACTTTGCGAAAACGGGCGGCAAATCTCCAACAGTGATGCGACCCGATTGAGTTCTTGTCGAAATATACTAAAATGCGTCAAACAAAAGGTGTTCCAAACGTCAATTCAATATACCAGAGACCGAAGGTGATACTCCTCAATCAAACAAGAACTGGAAGAACCGATCAACAAACCTTTGATTTAAGTGTGCGTAACTCCACTTGTGTAAACTGACTCTGCAGCCATGGATCAGAAACAAGAACACCGACGTAGCTAGACATCTCCGCCCTTTGTTCCTCCGAGGATTCAAGAACAGCTAAACCCAAAATCAAAACCAATCCTGCAGGACAGTGATTTCCGCGCTTTAATCGAACAGGAACCTCGGATCACTTAACAACAATCAGACCTAAAAGCTAGATCCATAAGCCTCAAATTTAGACAGAAAATCGTACGGGCAAGTCAAAACCTTCAAATCTTTTTCACAAACTACTCCGACCCACGAAAGGAAAAACCCAACAAAAACGGTGCAGCCACTCCCATTAGGATTCGAACCCACAATTGCGATAACGACAACATTGACACCTCGAACGGCTACAATGGCGGAAACCGATAAGGTATTGAGAAAATATAGGGTAAAGAGACGATCACAGACCTTATAGAAGACGAGATTGAGTATGATTCATGTTCATATCGTCGTATAAAGGTTGTTACTTTAGAGCTCTCGTCTGTCGTTCGGCTCAAAACTCTTCTGAATACCCATCAGATTAGATCAGAAAAGCAAGAAACGGACGAGAAATAAGAAGTTCGGGAAGAGGACAGGCGAAGAATGAAATGGAACAGAGACAAGAGGCGGAGAGAGAGAGAGAGAGAGAGAGAGAGAGAGAGAAAGAGAAGGGTTTTGTCTGTTTTTTTTTTTAATTATTTTTCACTTTTTTTTTTCTCTTGTCGTGTGATTTTCACTCTTTTGTTTTGTATTATTTTGGTTGCTTCCTTTTTGTATTATTTATTTCACCAAACGTTCTTTATTGGGGTTATGGTAAAAGACAAATTGTATATAGTTTTTTTAGAATAAAAATCAGAATTTTATTAACATTTTTTGTGGGTGAAAATAAAAATCAGAACTGTAATATTCTTATGGAAATTCTTAAAATAAAAATGTAAGAAGATTTTATTATTTCCTACATTTTCTGCGTCTAAGATGATACATATGTCAAAATAAATATAAACCAAGACCATCTTCATTGCCATTTTATCCAACTTTCTACAAAAGAAAATATCTAGATTTGGTTATTTTATTTTTATAAAAGTTATATATATATATATATATCTAGATTTGGTTATTTTATTTTTATAAAAGTTATATATATATATATATATTTACATTATTTTTAGATTTTGTTCGGATTCTATTTGATTCAGTTTGGGTTATTTTTTTATAAAAAAATACTAGTTTACTTCATTTAAAAAAATTGCACCTGATATTTTTATATTAAATTCAGATTATACATTATTCATTTGAGAGGATATCAAGCAAACATTAATGCATCTTGAACACGTAAAAAAAAGAATTATAATTTCTTCGAAAAATCAACAAATAAAAAATTTATGTCTTCATGCATCCCACGTCGCCACTTTCTAATTAGAATGTTCAATAAGATTATATTAATTTCCAAATAATTGAAGGCTCAAAAAATAAAAGATTATAATCGATTATAAAAAAACAATGAAATAAAATAAAAAAACGTGGACGACCAAATATGACATTTTCCTCAGCCGTCCCGTCTCCCTCGTGGTCTCACGAATTTTTAGTATTTTTTTCTTTTTTCTGCGTATTTTTGTTCAACAAATTCAGTCAAAATTCAATTAAATGAGGGATATATTAATTGCACGAGTATTTATTCAAAAAAAAATACATAGAGGTATATTTTTAATTATTAGATGTTTATTAAACATTTATTTTGTATCAAAATTTATTTATAATCAATAAAAATAATAATAATTATATTTAATGATATTCTATCAAATATTAATTATAATTTTAGTTGAAACTCACATAATCCATAAGCTTAACTTATGGCAGTTTACTCATTAGATACTGTAAGGGAAAAATAGGATAATTTTTCTCTTTTTTGTTCCTTCTGTTTTTTTCCATTCATCTGGTTTTGTAGGTGAAAGTTACGGACGGAATATTCTATCTCATTTTCAGGTGGGACACGGACCAAGGACGGACTCCCAAACATTCGTCACATGATCCAGAAAGGTTCCAGATCGCGGATATGGATGAACCAAGACCGAAAATTTGCTAAATTCCGAGACTTACCGTGGCCCGGACATAGTCCAAGACGAGTTCTTGGACGTGTCTAACCATTCTCCATGGTTTAGACTCGGTCCAAAGCCCATTTAGTTTGTCTAGATTCATTGTATTTGGCCTAAGAGACATCCCAACATTCTCTTCCGGATTTAGGCACGGCGGAATGAGTGAGGAAGAATATTCTCCAACTCATTCCTTAAATCGTGGCACTAAGGGAGATAATGGAAGGAGTCGACCACTTTTCTCGTTTTTACTCCCGAAAAGTAGGGACATGTTGAGCTAATCAGATGCCGAAATTTGTGAACTCTCCACCAAGTGATTGTTAAACATCTTGTATAAATAGGTTAATCATTTGTTGAGAGAAGCAATCTCGTTTCCCCCAATTCTCTCTCTAAGTTCTGAACTTCGGTTCTTACATCGCCGGTTCATTCTCTTTTCCGGTCACATGCACGCCTCAACTTTCAAACCGTCGTCATGTTGTCCTCTTTGTACCGAACCACCGTCGACCCTTGTACCTTTTTTTCCTTATCAATAAACTCGTCGCCGCATGCTTCACTGATCTCTTTCTCATTCTCACTTCGTTCTTTAAAAAAACCCAAAGGTTTAGTATAGTCTCTCGGAGTTTCCTAAGTGCAACTCATTTTGTTCGAAACTTCCCTTTTCCGCATCGATACTAACCCCGTGACATCATTGCACCCATTTTCACATTTTTCAAGTTTCAACCATAATCAACAATAAATAAATAAATAAATAAATCAAAGTAACATATTAATATTCGTGTAAGGGACAGTTAATGGGCTATTTACCGTTATAAATGGGCCTATTATAACTACTTTTTCAGCCCATATGACTGGTAATTCCGCAGCCCAAACTGTCAGAAAATAAAACACACTTTTTAGTTTTTATTAAATACTGATTTATATTAGCTGAATTTAAAACCCAATTTTTTTTCTTATTTCAGATAAAATTTGATGGGCCTCAACTTTTTATATTAACTGAATTATAAAAATAAAAATCAGTATTTAGAATCGTCAAATACGAAGTTCAAATTTTGAAAATCGCGATATAATAAAAAAAAATCAAAAGATAGGGTAGGTGCGTAGTTTTTCCTTCATGATTAGATCAATTAATTAATTAATTAAACCATTAAGATTTTTTAATTAAATTAAGAATTTTTGGATTAATCGTCGTGCCTAATTTGTCGGTCGCACAAAGTCCATGACAACGATAAATACGATGTCGTTTGGTTAACTATGATTTAGCTGGATTTATTAATCATTGAAGGCGTGGTTTGGCTTTTCGTTTTCCTCTCTCTAACCACGCCAATAATTTTAAATTATCATTAATCCAACGGTGTTTTAGCTTTCTGGTACAGCTGGCTCCGGATCCTACGTGGCAATGATGATGTCATCGGACACCCCCTACTTTACCACACGTTAAGAAAAATATATGCCGACAAAAAAACGGAAAATTAAAGTTAATACTACTATCGAAGTGATATTTCACGTCATCTGCGGTATATTTTTGGTTTAGGGATATTATAATTATTATTATTATTATTATTATGGACCGTTTAATGATGAGAGAACGGTGCACCGACGGATGAATGTTTTTTGTGAGGTGTCATTTGGTGGTTGGAATACTTTGGAGATTTCCATTTATAAAATAACGAATGACACTTACCAAATAAATTTCAAAGTTTCATATTTTCTTTTCTTCTAAACAAGTTCTGTGTACTATTTTATAGCTTTTTTTAATCTATTTATTTATTTATTTGATGTGGAAAGTCTTTATTACAATCAATGTATTAGTTTTCTTTTATCATTTCTCCCATTTAACACTCATATCTAATTATTATCAAATGTTTTTTTTTAATACACTAGCAAGGATTTAGAGAAGGTATTTACAAAAAAAATGCAAAAAAAAAATTGATTTAGAGTTAGATGCAAGCCATCAAATTTTAAATCCTAATATTGGAAATTTTCCATACGTTGGAAGTTTTTAAATTTGGTTTGTACATAAAATTTTGTTTTGTGGATAATAAGGCTGGTGAGTCCAATATTGGGGAAGAAGACAACTATCCTTGAAAGGTGATTATGAAATTTCACCTCACTATACATGGTGGTCCTCCTCGCTTCAAAGTTTCATACAAAATTCAAAACTATATAATATATATATATATATATATATATATATATGTATATAAATTTTTTTTGGCCTTTTTCAATTGTAAAAGTAGGTATATAATTCATTATTTACAGAAAATATTTTAGGAATGAAATTGTCGTGATGTTTTGGTATTATTATTTAGTTACTGATTAAATTTAAGTTGCATTTCAATCTACGCAATCTCTTTTAATTTTTTAAATTAGGTTGCATTGATGATTAAATTATCATTAAAAATATTCACACGACTAAATTCCATTAAAATATATAAAATTGTTTAAAACTCCCAACTAAATATAGAAATTCTTTTTCTCATATGATACATCAAATTTTAAAGATTTCTATAAAAGTACAAAATTTTCAGAGTATTAAAATAATAATATTATTAAACGACCATCTAATATTCGTATTTTGAAAATAATAATATATCTTTTAAATAAAATTTATCTCAATGGCAAAGCACGATGGTATTTAAAAAAGATGAAAGATTTTAAGAAAATTTTAAATTAATATTTGCTTAATCGCACAGAAACCAGCACTGCTTAATTACATTGCATGAACAGACTGTCTTTTTACTTTTAAATACCCTCTCCCTTCTTCTGCTTTCTCCATCTCTGGTCTCATTTACCAGTCGCTCAAGGTAAGCTTCTCTCTCTCTCTCTCTCTCTCTCTCTATCTGGTTCCTGAATGGCATTGGCTGCACAAATGTTTTGTTCTTGCTCTTCCCAAAGCTAATGTTGTTTCAAGTTAGTGTTTTGTCTGATCCAGATCTAGGTTTTCTTCATTTAGCTTGTTTTTGGTGCGAGATTCTATACCACTCTGTCTTCGTTGAAGCTTCCAATGTCTCTCCCTCTCTCTGTTCGGGTTAATTCTGAAGCACATTATGGATGTGGGTTTCTGTTTTTTGGGTGTTTTGGTGTTTTTTTTTCATGTGGGTTTCTTAATTCTCCGACAAAGTCTCCATCTTCGGGGATTCGGAGATATGGGTGTGGTGGAAAGTGATGAGTTTAAGATCTTGTAAACTTATTGCATTGTCGTTTGTTTACCACCTCTCTTTCATCTGCAATCCAAACTCTTACCACTCTGGTGTTTCCTTTCTGGATCATGCATTCAATTCCCTCCCCCCCCCCCCTCCCCTT